TCAGCGAGAGTCGTTTCCCGGGATTTCCCGGGCATCCTGTGTGTAAAAAACAATACTCGGAGGGTGCGCGGCTATCACCCGGACGCCATCAGGGGAAGGATTCGGGAGCAGAAATGAAGCCGGCGCAACGAGAGCAGCATTTTGAGAAAAAATGACGCCGGCGCGAGAGCAGCATTTTGGGAAAAAATGACGCCGGCGCCTCAGCGAGAGTCGTTTCCCGGGATTTCCCGGGCATCCTGTGTGTAAAAAAACAGTACGCGGAGGGTGCGCGGCTATCACCCGGACGCCATCAGGGGAAGAGGGAGAGTAGATTCATATTGAGTAATTGTGGAGGGGGGGAGGCAGGGAGGGAGGGGGCGCGCCCGGGGCGGGGGGGCGGATGGGGGGAGGGGGTGAGGCTGACGAGGAGGCCGATGAGAGCAGATCGGCCCCCGCATGGGAGCATCACCGCTGGCAGCCGGAGCCACCCTGAGCACCAGAGGGAAGGTACAGCCAGACCACGGGTAGAAGCACATGCTTCTAGAACGTGAGACCTTCCGCCTGCCCACCCGAGCAGCTTTCGAGGGTGCCCCTCCCCTGGCCATCGCTCGGACGTCCATTCCTTATGCTTTTTTCGGCATCGTGAGTGGTTTCTTCGCCAAATGATCAAGGATGCTCCTCGATGGTCGTCGCCGAAGGAAAAATGCACACGTCCGAGCGATTCCAGGTCCCCAGGGTGCACAAGGACATGCCACAAGCACGAAGAACACTAGGGTTAGGTCGGGCATGCTCGAAGATTCCTCCCGTGGAGGGACACGCCCGACTTAACATCAGGGTACCGTCCCCGAGCCGACTTCGACCTCATACCTCGGTCCGACCGTGCAGTCGAAACATGGCCACGAGCACGCGACACGGAGCCGTGAGCCGCTTCGTCGAGCGCCGAAGGCCCCATGGAGACAGACACCCTGAGCGAGGGGGAACAGAACAATGGATGTCCTTCGGTTTTTCAAAGACTTAGGCGTTCTCGCCTTTTCGTCTTACCCGCGCTCCAAAATTGCCCAAGAGGCCCCCAGGATCGCCCCTAAGCGAGGGGGATTCCAGGGTGGAGGGCCCAAACTCTGCGGCCAGCCAGGGGGGCAGTAAGAAGAGGCGGGCCTTCTCGGAAGGCTCGAAAGTCCCCTGGTCTTCTGGGAAGTTTTCCAAACCTCCACCGAAAACACAGAAACCTTGTCAGAAGGCCGGAGGGCTTCTGAGATGCCCCGCCGCCTTCTGAGAAGGCCCTCTCCTTCTCACTTCCCCCCTTGCTCGCCGCCGACACACACACACACACACACGAAGAACATCAGGGCAACCATCGAAGGCTGGGACTGCCCTTGATCCTCGTGCCAGCTGTGCGCTGGTGGTTGCTGCACCCGCGCGCGGGAAGAACGCCTCGACGCGGGCGGCGCTCGCGGGGGCAAGCGCCAGGAGCGCGAGGGCTTCAGACCCTGCAGCGATCGGATCGCGATCCTCGGGAACAGGGATCGCCCTGGACAACGTTGCACGTCTTCGTTTTGTTTTCGGTCTCCCTCGTTTTGTCTTCAATCCGCCTGTGTTGCAAAACGGCATCGAAACGAAAACTGCCTTACGAGATCGCCAAAACACCGTTTAGGTCGACCCCTGCTCGGGAAACGCAGACCATACGCTAAACGTATCTGCACACAACCACCGTGTCTGGCCACCGCCATTCTGGACCCTGGCATGGTGTGTAACGTCCTGCCGACGAAGGCCAGCGAGGGGTTGTACACGGTGCCAGGGCCCAGGGTGACCCTGGCAAGGCAAAATGGTGTGCAGATGCCCTCTGCGGAGACTGAAGCATCCCGAAGATGACGGAGTCCGGCCGCGATCTCCGCCAGCCCCCACAATGTGGCCTGGCAAGTCTCGGTCACTGGCGAGGGCCAGGTTCGCAAGACTGCGCACTGCGACGAGTAGGTGGCGACATCCGAACCCTACCCTTACCAACCAACCATCGATTCTCCTGAATCGATGGGAGGCGGGGGTAATCGAGGGTAGGATTCGGAGTTCGCCACGTGTTCGACGAATTCCGAACCCTACCCCCGCCGCCCATCGAATTGCCTGGATCGTTGGATCGGCGAGGGGTCAGATCCGCTCAAAATCGGTCCCCCAAGGGCTCCCAACTTCGCGCTTCGCGCTGCGCGAAGCGCGAAGTGCGAATAACTTCGCGCTCTCGCGCCGCCCCCCAAGGGGGAGAAGAGGAGGACGAGGAGGAGGAGGAGAAGGAACGAGGACCGCGAAGCGCGAAGCGCGAATAACTTCGCGCCCTCGAGGGCGCCCTTGGTCCCCAGACCCCTCCCAGAGTCCCTATATGGTGCAATTTTCTCCCCTGGATCCGTCGCTGACGGTCCCAGGGCCCGAACGCGGTCCCCAGAAGCCGAAGATTACCAAAAACCTGTTCGCCGATTTTTCCCATCGTCCCTAACTCGCGTACGGCAGGTTCGTGTCGTGCCGACCCCAGCGCTGGTTTTTGACACCGCAGGGATCGTTCAACCTTGAACGATCGGCCGTCTCCGCAACGTCCGATCGTTCAACATCGATCGATTCTGGGTCGCCGGCGGCGTTCAACCTTGAACGTCCGCGCTGGGGTCGCCGCTGGTCGACACGACGCAAACCTACCGTAGCGGTTTGGTGGGCAGGAGAATCTCCCCCCAGGGTGACCAGTGCAAAGTGGGTGCCTCTTTGCCTCCTGGCCTCTCAAACTTTGCTGCTGCCACCCTTCAAGAGTGCGCCTCGGAGGCGGAGGGGTCGGATTTCGTGGCCGAACGAAGAGGCCAGGACAACCCAGACTCGAATCGATAAGCCGGATCGGCGATCGAAATGAATCGGATCGGCGGAAACCGGCAGCCGAGTCGGGAGAAGTCGAATCGGCGGAAATCGGCAAGCTCGTATGCCTCAAATATGGAATCGGAATCCACATCGGAATCCCAAGTCGAATCGAACCGGCATCGGAGGCCATCGAAATCGAATCGAACGGAAGCGGAGGGATCGAAACGAGCCCTGGAAGGCCCCGTGCGTGCGACCCGGTGGCCCTCGAGGCCGATCGCAGAGCGCCCGGCGGCCGGCCCGGGCCCCGAGCCGGGACGGCGCGCCGCCGCTGCTCGCCGCAGTGCTCGCCTGCCCGCTGGAGAGCTCGAGCGGCGCGGAGCCGTCCTCGGGCTCGCCGCATCGTCGGCGGGCTCGTCGTCGTCGTCGTCGTCGTCGGCGGGCTCGTCGTCGTCGTCGTTGTCGTCGTCGTCGTCCTCGTTCTCGGGCTCGCCGCGGGCCAAGGTCGGGACACAGTGGAGGCCAGTCCACAAGAAACCTTCCAGAAGAAACCCAACCCTGAGACCCCAGGACGTCCATTGGTTTTTTGGTATGGGAACGCCACGCTTTCCACAGCAAGACCATCGAAACCCAAGAAACCCAGGGCACCCAAGAGACAAGCAGGGTGCTTCTTGGCATGAGTCTCCACTGCAGGCTTCTGGGTAGTAGCGACCCGACTACGATCTCGACGTGGAGGCTGAGCGATCCGATTCCGGCCCGGCCCGAGGCGGCGACTCTATGTTTGTGGATGCCACGACAATGGACACCCTAACAGTCCTATCATTGAATTTAAAATGTGTTTAAAATGCCGGAAAAATGTTCTAAACATGTTTCAAACATGTTTTTACATATATCAAACATGTTCAACACATGTTCTAGACATCTGGAAATTATTTAGCAGCACGCGTCCTCTCCATTGATCGTCCTCGTCCTCCACAACTCTCTGTGAAGCCTGGGCGCACCTCCCCGGCGCGCGGAGACACCGTCAGGGGGTCCCAGCGCCGATGCGAGAGATCCGCGCGGACCCCCCGACCAAGGGCGCACGCGGGCCCCCGAAAGCCTCTGGCGCTCTTGGGCGGCGGGCGTTCCGAAGCCCGGGCCTCTGCCAAAGGCCCGGGCTTCAGAGAGAGAGTCGCGGCCTCGGGCTGGGCCAGGATCGGGTCGCTTGACGCCTCCACGTCGAGGTCGTAATCAGGACGCTGCCGGAAGCCTATCCCGAACCGAATCGTCAACCGTGGCGATTCGATTCGCAGAGCAGGATAGAGCGATAGAGCCGAATCGAATCGTGTGCCGCGCTGTCTGGGCCCACTGGTGGTGGGGCCGAGGGCTCTGGGACCCCACGTGTGGAGCAAGTCAGGACGCCGGAAGTCTTATGGGGCGCTGGATCTTACAAGTCGAGGCCCACGGCCCAGAGTCTGCGAGTTTTTACCCCCGAGCAGGGCTTGCACCGCATCCCCAGGGCGTTCTAAAGTGTTCTCCTCTTGGGCCCAGAACGAGCTGCTTCGAGTGCAGCCACGACATGTACAGTGTGGGTGGCGCTGCAACGGATATGATTCCAGGGTGTGCGGACCTGGCGTCGGTTGGGCCTGGAGATGCGGTGGATCTGATTTCCGTCCGCGTGGATATGATGCCGCCTTTTCTGGATATTATTGCTGCCCCGCCTTTCCCTTGGATCTGTCGTATACCCAAGTTCGATGCCATGACATTGCAGTGGGGGGCAAAAAAACATCAAATCCGAGGCCCCAAGACCCGCCCTTGTTAATATTCTACGGGGGAGGTTTCGGTACGGAGGGATGCAGCTCGCACTTCAAAGATAAATGATCGAATCTCTTTGAATGCGTTTGGGGGTTGCTTCTCCTGGCCGAACCGGCTCCCGCCAACGTCAAAGCCAGAGACGGCGCCGCCGCCGACGACGAACACGTCGACGACGGCGACGACGATTTCGACAACGTCGCAGTCGACAACGACGGGCGCACGTGGATGTCGACGAAGTCGTTGACGTCTCCCGCGGACGCTGACATCGGCGAGGCCGATGACATCGACGACATCGGCGGCGTCGTGGACGACGCCGACGATGACACCGACGTCGACGACGTTGCGGTCGACGATGCCGACGATGCGTCGACGTCGACTAAATCGTTGACGTCTCTAGCCGACGCCGGCGTCGACGACGGCGATCACCACGGCATGGACATCGCAGTCACCGACGACGGTGACACGTCGACGTCGCCGTCGACGGGAGAGTAGCGACGTCGTCGTTCAGGTCGACGACGGCGAATCTTGCGAGAAACATAATACCAAAAACGACAATCCCTAGGGCGTAAGTGATCTCCTCTTGGGACCAGAACGAGCGGCTTGACGTGCAGCCACGACGTGTATGGGTGGCGTTGCAGCGAATATGATTCAAGGGTGGGCGGACCCGATTTCGGTTGTGCCTGGAGATGCGGTGGATCTGACTTCCGTGTGCGCGGATCTGAGATCGCCTTTTCCAAATATTTGGTTTGTCACCTTTCTTCAGGCGAACCTGATGAGACCCCAGTTAAGGTGACCCAGGGGTCCGACAAGAAACAAGATCGTCCCAAAGCCCGCCCATTTTAAGATTCGGCAGGGCCGGGGGTCGCGGTACGAAATGATCCGACGGTTGGCACTTCAGAACGACATGTTCTTGCCCTCCGTATTTTCTTCTTTCATGTCCTGGGAACTTGGCCGGCGCTTCCGGGATTTCGCCGAGTGCCCGCCAGTGCCCGTCTCTTGCCCGCCCCGTGCGCTGGCTGGCCGTTTCGCACTTCCGCACAGTGCCCGCCCACGCCCGCCTATTGAAGTAGCTGGCGGTTCTCCGCTGGCGGTTCTCGACTGTCACCCAACGCCTCGTGCGGTGGCTGAACCTCACCCCACCTGGACTGCACCACGTGATTGCAAACTATCGGTTGCGCGAGACCAGGTGCACCGCGTAGATTTCTCCAAGCCACCACCACCCCTCAAAGACCCCCCCACAACGAGGCTAAGGTTGGCCCCCCGGCCTCCGCGCATAGTTCTTTTCGTATGTATTCCGCACGATCGTTCACCCTTCCATATTATACACAATCATGTCACCCCAGCCGAACTGTTAGCGATACCCATCCCAGCCATCTCCTGCGAATAGTGCTGCGGTGCTCATGCGTTAATCTACGAGGTGTTTCTTCCCTCGACAGCTTATCTGTAAAACATATGTTTTGTTTGTCAGAGGCCGAATACGGGCGGACCCGGGCCTGGAATCGGTCGGTCGCCGATTGTCTTCTGGTTTCTCGCGTTGTCTCGTTGTCTCCCGTTGTCTCCCGTTGCCTCCCGTTGTCTCGTTGTCGCCCGTTGTCTCCCGATGTCTCTCTATCCCTATCCCTACCCCTCAACCCGCATCTCTATGCCATTTACTGCTATCCTACATCCCGATCCCAACCCCGATCCCTTTCCTGTAGAATTGTTTTTGCAACTGCTATTGGGTATTGCGAAGATTCGTCTCACGATTATTAATAAGATGAAGATCTGTCGTAACATGTGAGAAGTCAAATTTGCCTGATTGTTGGCACTTGTGTAGCATTGTGATACGCCCGTTGACGTAAGTAATTTTGGAAGTATCAGTCTCAATATCAGAACCGATATCAATATTAGGTTTCGCATTCGCGTATACATCCGTAGTCAGATATTCGTGTTCGTATGTATCGGTGAGCATATATGAACCTTACTATCTAAAACCATGGACGCAAAACCAAATAGTAATGCGATCATTCGGCCATTCAACAATGAACCACAAAACCGAACCGCGAACCACAAAACCGAACCGACTGAGGGAGAACCGACGGAACCGGAACCCGTCAGAAACCCGACGCGAACCGAAACCAAACCGAACCGGACGCGGTGGAACCGAACCGGGCCCGAACCAGGAACCGGTCGTGGAGGTGGACCCTTGGGAACTGCCCGATGCGAGCGCCGCCTCTTGCGCTAGGTCCATCCCGCCCGCTCCCAACTCCTCCCCTGCGCCCCCGAGTTCCCTCATCCTGTTTTGCTGCTTGTCCAGGGCCGAACTGGGGACGGAAGGGCGGCGGAAAAGCTCAAATCGCATTTTGGACGGTTCGAAAGGCGCTTTGGGCCTCCAAGTGGTTTTCGGAGCCTCCAAGTCTGCTCTGGGGATGGCAGGGCGGCGGAAAAGCTCAAATCGGATTTTTGGACGGTTCGGAAATACGTTTTGGGCCTCCAGGTGGTTTTCGGAGCCTCCAGGGCTGCACTGGGGACGGAGGGGCAGCGGAAAAGCTCAAATCGCATTTTTGGGCGGTTCGGAAATGCGCTTTGGGCTTCCAGGGGCCCTCGGGGCCTCCAGGGCCGAACTGGGGACGGCGGCCGAAGCTGGGCCCCCACCATCCTGCGCGCGCCCAGTGAGGGCGCGGGCGGCGCCCTTGCCTTCCCAGTTGCCAGGAGTGGGCGGTCCGTACTGTCCGAGACCGTAGTCCAGGCGTTTTCTATCCTGGCGCTGAGGAATCGCCCGCTGTCGCCAGAGCCCCCTGGTCCAGGGGGCGCGATGCTGTCGACTGGTCCGTCGAGGGCACCATGCGTAACGTCTGGGCCCATGGGCTCCCCTGGCTGGTCGGGTAGCTGGGCCCAGTGGCTCCCCTGGCCCCAGGGTTCCTCCTGACTCCTGGTTGAACTGAACCTCCAAACGCATCCATGTGATCATGTAGACGCACACGCGCACACGTCATCTGCAAGAACCGAGAACCGAAATGGAACCGGCTAAAACGGAACCGCCCTCTGAATGGGAACCGCCTCAAACAGCTCCGAAACCGGAGCCGTACTGAACCAAACCAATTTCCCCCGATTCGAAACGAACCGAACAGAACCAGGGACACGCTGATTCAATGAGCTGGGCCACGGCAAACATACGGACGACCACCCGATGAAACATTGGCAGTCGCGTTTCGCGCTTATTTCTCGTATGTTCAGCGGCAGCCGTCGACCGTGCCCTGAAGGGAACTAGCAGACTGTGAATGGCAGAATTTCAGCGTTATGAATAAGTGTGGCGTTAAGTTACCCTACCACGGTAGTAGTACAGCACCGGAAATGTTGCTCTAGCTACTACATTGTACGATCCTGTTGGAAGTCTTCTGCCGAGAGGGTGTACTCCTAAGGCGCCCATCTAAAATATATGGTGCGGGGCACATGCGCGCATCGCTGCGCGCGCATGCCACAACCACTCAGAAACCGCCCGCCTTCTCACAAGTCCAAGACGCACAGTAGCGATTCGTCAACTATAGGACACTATTCGCTGTCTTCATCAAAGCTGCCAGACTTATACGCGCGCGCTCGTGGAAGTCATCAGGAGACCAAAGGTGGTTAGCCAACCATTCGTCAAATTAAACCACGTGGGCCACTCGACCGCGCATGACGAACGCGCCCCCGCCAGCTCCGCAAAAAATACCATGACGGCCAAACGCGCGCGTATTCTTGCGCGCACGTCGAACTGTGTCCAAAATCACGGGTTACCTAACTATTTCAGAACACTGGTGCTCTTTCTCTCTCGCTCTTTTAAGAATTCTCTCTCTCTCTCTCTCTCTCTGTTTCTCTCTCTCTCTCTCTCTCTCTCTCTCTCTCTCTCTCTCTCCCCCCCCCCTACACACACACACGCACACGAAAAGACAATACTTTCCATAAGTGTACGCCAAGGTATCCGACTCTCTACGGGCCTGCATTTGCTCATCATCCTCATCAAAACAGTCGAGATCATCACCATGCGCGTCAAAATTGCCATAGACATCGTCATCGTCACCATCGTCATCATCAGCATCATCATCAGCATCATCAGCCTTATCATCATCAGCATCATCATCACGACCACCACCATCATCATCACCACCACCACCACCACCATCATCATCATCATCATCATCATCATCATCATCATCATCATCATCATCATCATCATCATCATCATCATCATCACCATCAGCATCATCAGCATCATCATCATCAACATCACCATTATTATCGCAGCAGCAGCCGCCGACGTCGTCATCGTCGATGCCGCCTCCCTCGCCACATTTCTTCGCGCGGGCGCTTCCTCCTGCTTCTCCTCCACCTCCTCCACCTCCTCCTCCCCCTCCCCCTCATCATCGTCATCACCATCATCACCACCACCACCATGATCATCATCATCATCATCATCAACATCATCAACATCATCATCATCATCAACATCATCATCGTCATCATCGTGATAATCAGCATCATCAACATCATCATCATCATGATCATCGTCATTAGCACCACCATCGTCTTCGTAATCACCATCATCATCATCATCACCAACATCGTCATCATCATCATCATCATCATCGTCATCATAACCGTCATCAGCATCATCATCACTATCGTCATCATCATGATGATCATCATCATTACCATCATCAGCATCAGCATCATCGTCATTAGCACCATCATCGTCTTCGTAATCATCATAATAATCGTCATCTACATCATCATCATCATCATCATCATCATCATCATCATCATCATCATCATCACCAACATCGCCATCAGCATCGTCATCATAACCGTCGTCAGCATCATCGTCATCATCAACATCATAATCATCGTCATCATCCGTATCAGCATCATCGTCATCATCATCATCATCATCATGATCACCGCCAGCTTCATCGCTGCCACCGTCGTTACGTATCATCACCACCAGATTCCTCATCACCATCACCTTCGTCGTCGACATCGTATCGTATCACTTCCATCACCACTGCCATCAACGTCGGCATCGCCAGCGTGATCACCACTGCCATCGCCATCGTCGTTGGCGTCGCTGTCGTCACCACCGCCACCATCATTTCGACCTGCAGGACGGCTTTGTCTGTGCGGTTGAGTTCCACACGCTCGTGCGCTCGTTGAGATCATGGCCACATGAGCTTTGCCAACCCTTTGTGGGTGGGAGGGTGGGATGCTTGCACGAGCGTGGGAGGTGGTCACGCGCGCATGCTGCACGGTCAAGGAAAAAAGTAAATCCCCCCCCCCCTCCCGAGCCTGGATTCATCGATACCCTTTGGGACACTGCAAATTAAACACGGGTCTGCCTCGTCGTCCATGGTACAATCCAAATCCGAACCGTACCGACCCCCCCCCCCAATAATCCCTGTCAAATAGAACTATGCGCGCACACCCGCTTATCGTTATCTCAAAACATACTTGGTCTCAGATCCTGTGCACAAAATTGCACAACGCCCACGTACGCGCGCACATGTCAAAATCAGACCGCACACACCAGTTCTGCAAGCATCTCAACATAAAAACACAGCAACAACCCTTAGGTCAGTCATCACAAGTCTTGCAGATGTTCTGCCCGCGCGCCTTTGCGCCAATCACAAAAAAACAATATAAATTTCGCAGAACTCGCATTTTCATATCACCACGCGGTGCGTCCGGTTTGATCCAGCATGCGCCCAGCGCGCAAATCCGTATCACAGAATACTATGCGGGCTACACGCGCGCGCCGCCACGCGCGCGCGTCGAAGTCCTTCCCAAACCAATCGCTTTCGAAGCGTTTCAAGATAGAGCCCTTCAACAAAATATTGAAAATGACATGTTTTATCAACAAACAATATGCCAAGGTCCTTGCATTTCCGCGCGCGCACTTTCTCACCATCGGCCTCAACAGCGCCGGAGCATCACGTCATCGTCACCGTCAATCGCCACCAGTGCAGCCATCATCACTCAAGCACCTTCGTCATCGACACATGGACATCATCATCGTTATCGTTCTCACTGGCATCGGCGCCGTTATTGGCCTGGTCGTCGTCATCGTCATCATCGCCACCACCACCGTTACTATCATCATCGTTGCCGTCGTTGTCGGCGCCATCATGAGACTGCGCCCGTCCGAGTCACCGACCCGCATTGAAGTGCTCTCGCGCCATCGCGGCCGCATCGGTTGTGCCAAAACAGCTGGCCGCTATGCGCGCGAGCTTGCGCGCTAGCGCACGCTGGCAAACATTCATCATCCACTCCGCAAATGTCGACGCTTTTCTGGAGCATTCGACCTCTCATCTGCACTGTGTGTAAACAGTTTGGGACGTTTCTGGAAGTGTTACCGGGAGGGCTCTAGGCAGCCTGGACAGGGATCAGGCGCTCGGCTGATGTAGACTGGAAACAGCCCGCCCGCCCCAAATCTCGCCCCCGCCTCCCTCCTCTTCCGTTCCCTCCTGCCCTGATCCCTCCACGCCCCTGGCTTTAGGTCGGGCATGTCCTCCTACGGGCGGACTTTGGACGAAAAAACAAGAAATAGCCTCAAAAAATCAAAAATAGTAGAAACATCATTCCCTGACTATCTTTTTCTCACTATTTTGGAATAGTCCTCCGAGTCACATGCCCCGCTTACTTAACCCTGGCCTGCCCTCATGGGCTGCCCGCAGCTCCGGCCAGCCAGTGCGGTCCTGCGGTGCGCCCGCGGGCGCGATGCCCACACGGAGCTTGCCGAGGCGCTTCGGCTGGGACTCGAGGGGCCCGCGGCGGAAGCCCCTGCTGCCGAAGACGCTGGCGCACACGGCCCTGTGCTTCTCGAGGCTCGCCGGCTTGAAGCGCCGGCTGCAATACTCGCACACCTCGGCGCTGCTGTCTTAATAATAAGGGGACAGGGACATGAGCACAAAAACTCGGAGGTCCGCGCGGATTTCTGGACTCCCCTCCCTGGCGCGCGGAGCGCGCCAGGGGCGGCGCCAGAGGCGCCGCCAGGAATGTTCCAGCGCCGATCCGAGAAACCCGCGCGGACCTCAGAGTTTTTGTGTCTGAGTCACCGTTCGGTCCTCAGATGAAGAGCTGACGGCCGCCGAAGGGTCTCGAGACTCGCGAGGCCAGCAGACCCTCGGACCTCCACCCGAAGTCTGCGCGGGGCTTCTCTCTGGGACCGCTCCAGACCTCAGAAGGGACGCCGGGGCAGGGCCGCGGCCGACCCCAGCCATCCGGGAGAGGGGGGGCGGCAAAGCGGTGGTCAGGGGACCAGCTGCACATGCAGTGTGATTAGATCGTAAGGACGCTAGAAGGATGCAAGAACCATGGTCGCCGAAATTTGAAGCCGAAGTTGGACCCCGATCATCTGGGAAAGGGGGGGCGGCAAAGCGGTGGTCAGGGGACCAGCTGCACGTACAGTGCGACCAGATCGCAAGGATGCGGGGTAAGGCTGCCAGGCCCGTGGTCGCCGAAGTTTGAGCCGAAGTTGGACCCCATCATCTGGGAAAGGGGGGGCGGTAAAGCGGTGGTCAGGGGACCAGCTGCACGTACAGTGCGACCAGATTGTAAGGAAGCGCGGTAAGGATGCAAGGCCCGTGGTCGCCGAAATTTGAAGCCGAAGTTGGACCCCGATCATCTGGGAAAGGAGGACGGCAAAGCGGTGATCAGGGGACCAGCTGCGCGTGCAGTGCGACCAAATCGTGAGGATGCGCGGTAAGGCTGCCAGGCCCGTTTGGTCGCCAGAATTTGAAGCCGAAGCTGGAAACCCATAGCGCCTGGCTAGAGACCAGGACCTGAGATGGACAGAGGAGCAAAGATGCAAAAAAACCCTTGGAACATATGCAGTCGGAGCGTCGGTTGAGGGAAACAATTAAACAGCACTTCCCCTCCCGAAAGTCAAAATTGGCACGTATAAGCATCACTGGTCCGACACTCAAACTCGGGAGATCCGAACCCAACATTGCATTCGGGGAGGGGGCGGAGTTCACACCATATGTCATGTGTGAGTGTTGCTTAATTGTTTCCGACACCTGGTTGACCCAAGGAGCCCTAAATAAGGAGCGAGGCCCGTTTTTCCATAAGTGTAATCTCGATCTCCCATCGAAGACCTAAGGAACACCTAAGGCAAATTGTGAAACAATGAAGGAACACGGAGCCCCTCCCCAACGAAAAGGGTTCCTTCTTCAGCGCCCCGACTGTATACTCATCCTTGTGATGCGGCCTGACTGCAGCTGGTTTCCCAAGTGTTTCGATGTGCCAGGTGCGCCCATGCATCGGGCAGGTGCCAGGCAGCAGGGCCGGAAGCAGCTGCGTGCAGCAAATTTCTCAACCACCACTCTGAGCACCGCCGTTCGGGTCACGGTGAAGGCGCCTCTCCAGGGGCGCAGGCGACCAGCGCAAGAGCTCAAGAGAAGAACCGAACAGATCTTCCAAAGGCCCACTTGCAGCCAGCGTCGGCTGATTCTTGGCCGCTGTCACCTCTCGCGAGAGAGAAGAGGGAGGGAGCAGGGACGAGGAGGGAGGAGGGAAGGAGGAGGAGGAGGAGGAGGAGGAGGAGGAGGAGGAGCGGAGGAGAAGGAGGAGGAGGAGGAGCAGGAGGAAGAGGAGGAGGAGGAGGAGCAGGAGGAAGAGGAGGAGGAGGAGGAGGAGGAGGAGGAGGGGAGGAGGAGGAGAGGAGGGAGGAGGAGGAGGAGGAGGAGGAGGAGGAGGAGGGAGGAGGGGAGGAGGAGGAGGAGGAGGAGAGGAGGAGGAGGAGAGGAGGAGGGAGGAGGAGGAGGAGGAGGAGGAGGAGGAGGAGGAGAGGAAGAAGAGGGAGGAGGAGAAGGAAGTGTGAGGAGGAGGAGGAGGAGGAGGAGGAGGAGGGAGGAGGAGAAGGCAGGAGGGAGGAGGAGGAGGAGGGAGGAGGAGGGAGGAAGGAGGAAGGAAAGAAGAGGAGGGTGGAGGGAGGAAAGAGGAGGAGGAAGGAGGGAGGAGAAGCCTGGTCAATTTTGCCGTTTAGTCCGAGTTCGAGGCCAGAGCGCATTTAGAGTTAGAGTAGAATCCGAGTTCGAGGCCAGAACGCAGTCAGAGTTAGAGTTTAGTCGAGAGTTAGAGGCCAGAGTGCAGTCAGAGTTCTCCAAGAGAGAGTTTGGGGAGCCCAGGGCAAATGTCGAGTCTGCCGATAAAGGCGAACACAAAGCCTGGGTGCATCGACTCACTCGGCCGCCTGTCCTCCAGGGCAGCCTGAAGGGAGCGGGCGGCGATGGATGAAACGGCAGCGGCTGCAGCGCCACTGCGGTAGGTTCGCGTCGTGTCGAGCAGCGGCGATCCCGCCGCCAGCGTTCAACTTTGTTCGCCGCCAGCGACCCAGAGTCGGTCGATGTTGAACGCTACGACGTTTCTGAAACAGCCGATCGTTCAAGAATGAACGATCCCCGCGGCGTCAGGAACCGAGGCTGGGGTCGGCATGACGCGAACCTGCCACCGCTGCCGCCACCGCTGCAACCTTGCCGTCGCTCGGACGTCCATTTCCCGTGCATTTTTCGGTTTCGTAAGTTTTTTTTTGCTCGATGGTCCAGGATGCTCCTCGATGGTTCCCGCCGAGAAAGGGTGCACACGTCCGAGCGATGCCGAGCAGCTGCCGGGCAGCCCGCTCCCAAGACTCCCCGGGGCCGCGCCTGGAGCTCCTGCTCCGGCAGCTCCTCGTCCGACTCGAGCGCCAAGGCTGCCGGCCCCGCGGTGGCTCCTCCGCGCAGCGGCACGTCGTCCAGCCGCGGCGGCGGGGGTGCCGCCTCCGCCTCTGGGCTTATGTTGCTCCCATCGTACTTAGGGACCACATCCCAGAAATAATTTCGAGCACACAGAAAGTATCGAAGCAGTGTCGAACGAGTGTCGCCTCCCAGGGCCCGACACGCGAAAACCCTCCAGTGTCGGTACTTTCTTGGTGCTCGAAATTCTTTTTGGCGATCAAGGCTAAAGAAGGTTGGAGCATCATAACTCTGGGCAAGCAAGCAAGTCCAGCCGGGCGACTCGAAGAGCCGCTGGCCCCATGAAGGGGGTGGCCAAGGAGGCATGTACACCGATCGGCCCAGGATGGGCCTGGACGGGATCGGTGTGGATAGCAGTCGGCCCGCGAAATCAAATAACTGTTCTGCTTCGGGCGATCCCCACCAAAGAACTGCTGCGCATGATTTCGAAATCAGTCGCTTGTGGCTCTACATCGTGACTTGTTGCAGCTTTGCTCATGTAGTGTTGTTGCGCATGTTCTATGTGCGTGGCTTGTGGTTTGTGTCCATAATGGTCCTGTGTGAGTGGTGCACGTTAGTCAAATGATATGCTAATTTACTACTACGCCACCTGACTGGAGTGTAGTCGTGCTTCGAATGTGCACGTGTTGCGTGCCTCCCTATGACGTCTGATATTTCAAGTGTGGCGTCATGAATGCGAGGTCCTGATCTGTATTACAAGCGCGTAGTCTCAAGGTATGGGCGTTGTGTTTGATTTATGCAGCTGGTGCCTTGTATTGATACTTCGTGCTGGCACATGTGATTCCTGTATACTCGTGTTGCCTGACTTGATATATGCTATTGGTGGTTGATTGGTACATGCAACGGATGTGTTACTGGTGTATGTCAATGGAGTCGATGACCGACGCCTGCCATTTACGCCAGATGCTGATGTGTGGTGCTGCTGTCTGCAATTAGTGCTTGATGCTGAAAGGATGTATGCTGTGTATGCCACTGGTTTCATGTTCATTTCAGATATGATGCTGATGCGTGTTCATGATGCCACTCATTGATGTCTGGTCGTGACACATGCGATGGCTGTATGCTGTGAACACAAGGGCTGATTTGGGCCCGTGATGCCTGCTCTTGGTGTGTGATCCTGTTGCCATGCCCCGCTACCAGTTTCTGGTGTGCACTCTTGATAAATGATAAAGTTGCCTGGTAATGGCGTGTGTGATTGACGTATGTCTTTGATGATCGCCCTTGGCGTAGGGTCTTGTTGTATGCTATGTGTGGATGCTGCTGTTCTATGTGATCGATGGATATTGATGTATGTTCCTGGAATATGTGGGTATTGTATATGGTTGACGTGGATGTTTACTGGTGCGTTTGATGTCGGTATTCCTGCCTGTGCTTGATTTATGTTCTTCGTGCCCGTGCCTGATGTGAACCCTTACAGTGTGTCGCTGATGCACGTGGTTGCTCTTAACATATTTCCTTGATGTCTCTCATTGGTGTCGGTTCTGGGTGTCTGTGGAAGGCGTGACACGCCGTGACGTCTGTCGTGCTGTGCTTGATGTCTGCTACTGCCGCCTGTCCTTGATGCGGTACGCATGGCCAGCGAGCGGGACACTGGGGAGTCCTGGCGCCTGGCAGCCGCGGTGTGCAAGGTTCGACAACCCCTATCTGTCCTGTCGGGTGCGGAACACGCGCCTCCGAAGAAGGGTCGGATCCCAACCCCGCTCGGAGCAGGCCGCGGCGACGCGCGGCTCAGCCCGGGCACGGCCCTTATCTGTCGGGCGCAGAAAAGCGTGAGATCCGAGGAGAAGCGGCCAGGTCGTGTTGGCTCCCCGGCGTCGCCGCGGACAGCTCGGCCGCCAAGCTCGACTCGGCAGGCCCCTCCACCGGCAGCGGCAAGCGCGTGTAGCCAGCCGCGGCGGCGGCCACGGCAGACGGGAAGCGCGAGTCCAGCGGCGGGTTCTCGTCCCACTCCTCACCCCTCCTCCGCCCACTCCTCCTCCGATAGACACGAGAGTCTGGAGGGTGGATGAGGGTGGAACACGAAACTCTGGAGATTAGCCTTCGGGACCTCCCTGTTCCAGGGCCTGTCCCTCCCCAGGCACCCAAGGAGGTTTCTTTTCTAAATACGGCTCCGGCCTTAGCGCCGCGCACATACGTTTTTGAAATAAGCAAGTTTTTGACGGATTCCCATGATCAGCGTACCAGACATGGCGTCGGGAAGAGGATTCAGGATTATGAGGGTGCAACGATTACATTGGTTCGCGTGTTGAAATCCCAGGAATGGCGTTCTGGCACGATTCAGGCTCGTCAAGACGCATCAGCCAGGTTGATCCGTGGCGTTGGAATCCCGAAAACAATGTTTTGGCATGCTTCAGGGTCTTCATACGATTGCCTTCCAACGAGGCAGTTCCCTCAGTGGAAATGAGCCGTCGCCGGGGCCTATGAAGCGGGAGCTTGGAGGAAGGGTTTATTCCAACATCGTTGACGGCTTTTGGTCTTACACTTGTTCTCATCATTCTCCTCGTCCTCCTCGTCCTCGTCCTCGTCCTCGTCCTCCTCCTCCTCCTCTCCCTCCTCCTCCTCCTCCTCCTCCTGCCTCCCTAACCCTCAGACAAGGGAAGAGCAAAGAACGCCGAAATTTCCTGGCCTCCCCGCGTCCTCCTCGCCCAGGCGCCGGGAACCGTCGTGAGCAACCTCCGCGCACTGCTCGGCCGACCCGGGCGCCGGCGGGCGCGCGTGGCCGGCCGCGGCGGCGGCCACCGCGGACGGCAGCCGCACGCCTAGCGCGGGGTCCTCGTCGCCCCAGCTGCGGGAGCTGTCGTGGGCGTCCGGAGGGCATCGGCCAGCGCCGGCCGCCGCCGCCGCGGACGACAGCAGCGCGTGCAGCGGCGGGTCCTCGTCGCCCCAGCTGCGGGAGCTGTCGTGGGCGTCCTGAGTGGGCGTCAGGTGTGCGATGGCTGCGTCTGCTAGGGCGCGGCCCCCTGCGGTCGCCCGCAGCTGTCTGACGCATTGGCCTGGTCGTCCAACGCGCAGATGGCACGGAAGCATGTCTGTGCATCCTCGTGTACCCCCCTCCTCCACCTCCCCCTCCCTCACCCCTGCTTCGGATCGGGCGAACGGGGGGGGTAGTAAAGGGGGGAGTCGCGAATCAGCTCACGTAGCTGAGTTTCGAGGGAGAGGAAAGCGCCTAGCGGCAAGGCCCAAACCAGCTGCATGCAGCAAGTTTCGGACCCCCCGTTTCCCCATCCTTGCGCCCGACCCGATCCGGACTTCGACCGAAAATCGGCGGCACGTCGCCGATGGATCGGAGATGCGACCCCGATCACGAATCCGCACTTTCCCAGGCGGGGCCTGGGGCGAGCTGTCGGGACTCCATCGGCGATCAGCGCGTGATTGGGATCGATGCGTTCCCCCCTGATTGCCTCCCTCCCCCATCCATCCCCGCCTTCCCAGCCCCTAGGGGGGCAAAAAAGGTACATATACCGCCACAGGGAAGCTGGAAAGAGTAGAAGTTGGAAATTCCTTAAAAGTACCTTCGTTGACTGGGTAAAATAGCATCTGTCGTGGACCTCTTCCGAGGTGCGTTCTGACGAGAAGCTCGATGAGAACTCGTGAGAATCCAGCCGTGGCGACGAGGGCTCTCCAGGACGAGCAGCGGCAGCGGTAGTCGGGGGTGATTGGAGAGGACACGCGAGAAGACACAAGACCCTTCCTAGGGCCACATACCTTGCCGTAAGAATGTAAAAGGCATGGGTCGCGAAACGCAGGACAGAAGGGCGCCCTTGATTTGGAAGGGTCGACCTACTAATCAAGCCTCCTCCTCCTCTGACGCCACCCTACGATTGGGCCATATTGGGCTAGAACGAGGATAAGTCCGTTCCAGAGCGTTCTGGAATCCGGAACGCTCTGAGAGCGTCCCAGAACGCCCTGAGAAGGCCGCGGCGCCCGATACATCCTCCAGAGCCGGTGCACCTCAGAGCTTCCCCATGGATCCTCACCCGATCGTACCCTCGTCCTGGCTCCGTCTTACCCCCCTCCAGCCAAGTATCGCACGCAGGGCGGGGCGCACGGTCCTCGAAGCAGTAGCCCGCCGCCTGGCCAGCCAGAGCCCCGTCACCGAGGGGCGGCGAAGTGGGCGGCCTTGTCGGAGCCTCGCGACGGGGTCGTCGGAGCCCCACCCCGAGACCCTCTGCTCGGGAGTGGGCACGGCCCCCTCGGCAAAACACAATTTATTTGGTGAAGGTGAAGTTCGGCGAGGGGGGGGGATCGTCTCAGGGGGGAAGCATCGGTCTGGAAATCGGCAAGACATCGCCGATAGATCGACGCCAGGCTCCCGATGGAGAATCATCCGCGCGCTCTTGGGCGGGGTGGGGCTATCGGGCCCCCTGTCGCCGATGAATGGGCGATTGGGGGTCGATGCTTTCACCCCTGAGTCAGTCCCCCCTGATGCTGCCCCTGACATTAACAGAACAACATGTCATGAACACGACTCGTAAGCAGACCCGGCTGGCGCAGGCCCGGAAAAAAGGTTGCGGCCGTAATGCTTTTCTCAGAACCCCGAAAGGCAATCAGCCAATCGACTTTGATCCTCGTTTTTCGCCTACTCCTCCTCCTCCTCCTCCTCCTCCTCCTCCTCCACATCCACCTTCCCCTCCTCCTCCTCCTCGTTCCTCGGAGGTATACAAGGGACCTTATCGTCGTCGTCCTCTCACTCGTCCTCGTCCTCCTCGTCCTCCTCCTGCTCCTCCTCACTCATCATTCCTGCCGCGCCTCGCCCCCCTCCCTTCGCCCCCTCCCTTCGCCCCCTCCCTCTCTCGATCTCCTCCAGCTCGCCTCCTCCTC